TCTTTACATTTTAGGATGACTTTCCGATCCGGTTTGGATCCGTCGCGCCACTCGGCTCCTCCGCTGAGCCGCGGTGGCCGAACGTGTAGAGATGTTTCAATCCTACACGCGGATCGAGCGATCGAATACCCGCGTTCCCCCTCTTTTTGTCTGACTATACGGTTCGGACCAGCGGCTTCAAAGGCTCCCCTTCGCACAGCGTTACACATGTGCCTTGGTGGCCGAGAGTGCAGAGGCGTCGGTTCCCAACTGCGGGGTCCGGGGTTCGATACCTAGTAGATATCGAATATTTTGACCAAGCTTGCATCGCAAGAAGGCGGTTCAAGTATACAAAATCGGCCGGCGTTCAGTGTGCCTCTCATAGCCCAGTGGTTCCGCTGCGGGGCGGGGTGACGCAGACTCCTGAGTACCAGTAGCAGGGCCCCTGAGTGGGAAGGGGGCCGGGAACGAAACCCGACTACTGGGAAAGGTGGCAGCCGGGCCCTACTATGAGAGGACTCCTCCACATCCAGATGACGGACCAATGACGGGGCCACTGCGGTTTAACTCTGAGGTTGCTCCTGTGATGAGAGGGGGGAAACCCACTGGCTCACCAAGCCAGCGGGGAAGAGGGCCGGTTCCCCGGGGGTGCCCTCTTTCGCTGAAATTTTCTTTATAGTGTTGATTTTACTTCTGTTACTCTGAATACTTTTTGTGTTAAAATGTCTTTGGATTGTCCTGCATCCAGTCTTGATTGACATAGGGGTGAGCCGCGGGTGTTTAGATCAATTGAGCGCCGCCGAGCTGCTCTCTAGCTGCAGCCTGACCACCTGACGGTGTAAGTGGGTCGGACAAAACGGAGGTCGGAAAAATTTTCAGCCGATTCACGGGCAAGTAAAATTTGGAGTCTACATCGTTTGTCCGTCCGACGTTTGTCCGTCCTGCCAAAATTTGTCCCCCCTCCCCTTCGCTTAAATTTTTGTCCGCCCGACGTTTGTCCGCCCGACGTTTGCCCCCCGCGTTTGTCCGCTCGACTTTTGTCCGACTGACGTTTGTCCGATCTCATTTCAGGAAAGAGGGAGAGGGGGGTATAAATATTCCACCACGTCAGTGACAGATTAGTCGTCGGGATGGACGAAGGGGAAGCGGCCACGCTGGGTTCCCTACCTCCGAGGCGGGCGGGTCCGAAAAGGAGCCTGTCCGTGTCACTCCCACCAAAGTAGGGGTGGGAGCGTTTTTGGGCCCCCCCTGGCAGCCGATGGGGCCCCGGCATTTGGGCCGGCCACCAGAACTTCCAGGTTCCCGCTGTGGAGGTCCTTGGCGTGGTCCTCAGGCCGAGCGAGCTTGGTGCTGCAGTGCGGGGGACTGCACTGTCGCGCTTGGCTTGCCGCGAAACTGTCGCGCTTTGGGGTGCCGCGACACTGTCGCGCTTCCCTGCCGCGACACTGTCGCGCTTTCCCCGCCGCGCACTGTCGCGCTTGGGCTGCCGCGACACTGTCGCGCTTCCCCTTTCCCCGACACTGTCGCGGTTCACCTGCCGCGACACTGTCGCGCTTCCCCTGCCGCGACACTGTCGCGCTTGGGCTGCCGCGACAACGTCGCGCTTCACCTGCCGCGACACCCTCGCGCTTCCCCCGCCGCGACACTGTCGCGCTTGGGCTGCCGCGACACTTTCCCCCTTCCCCTGCCGCGACACTGTCGCGCTTCCCCTGCCGCGACACTGTCGCGCTTCCCCTGCCGCGACACTGTCGCGCTTGGGCTGCCGCGACACTGTCGCGCTTCCCCTTCCGCGACACTGTCGCGGTTCACCTGCCGCGACACTGTCACGCTTGGCTTGCCGCGACACTGTCGCGCTTGGGCTGCCGCGACATCGTCGCGCTTCACCTGCCGCGACACCGTCGCGCTTCCCCTGCCGCGACACTGTCGCGCTTGGGCTGCCGCGACACTTTCCCGCTTCCCCTGCCGCGACACTGTCGCGCTTCCCCCGCCGCGACATCGTCGCGCTTCCCCTGCCGCGACATACTCGCGCTTCACCTGCCGCGACACCGTCGCGCTTCCCCTGCCGCGACACTGTCGCGCTTCCCCCCACGACACTGTCGCGCTTCCCCTTCCGCGACACTGTCGCGGTTCACCTGCCGCGACACTGTCGCGCTTGGCTTGCCGCGACACCGTCGCGCCTGGGGGCCGCGACATCGTCGCGCTTCACCTGCCGCGACACCGTCGCGCTTCCCCTGCCGCGACACTGTCGCGCTTTGGGGTGCCGCGACACTGTCGCGCTTGGGCTTCCGCGACATCGTCGCGCTTCCCCTGCCGCGACATCGTCGCGCGTCACCTGCCGCGACACTGTCGCGCTTCCCCTGCCGCGACACTGTCGCGCTTGGGCTGCCGCGACACTGTCGCGCTTCCCCTTCCGCGACACTGTCGCGGTTCACCTGCCGCGACACTGTCGCGCTTCCCCTGCCGCGACACTGTCGCGCTTCCCCTGCCGCGACATCGTCGCGCTTCCCCTGCCGCGACATAGTCGCGCTTCACCTGCCGCGACACCGTCGCGCTTTCCCCCGCCGCGACACTGTCGCGCTTGGGCTGCCGCGACACTGTCGCGCTTGGGCTTCCGCGACATCGTCGCGCTTCCCCTGCCGCGACATCGTCGCGCGTCACCTGCCGCGACACTGTCGCGCTTCCCCTGCCGCGACACTGTCGCGCTTGGGCTGCCGCAACACTGTCGCGCTTGGCCCTGCACTGCAGCACCAAGCTCGCTCGGCCTGAGGACCACGCCAAGGACCTCCACAGCGGGAACCTGGAAGTTCTGGTGGCCGACCCAAATGCCGGCCCCATCGGCTGCCAGGGGGCATCAAAGACGCTCCCACCCCTACTTTGGTGGGAGTGACACGGACAGGCTCCTTTCCGGACCCGCCCGCCTCGGAGGTAGGCAACCCAGCGTGGCCGCCTCCCCTTCGTCCATCCCGACGACTAATCTGTCACTGACGTCGTGGAATATTTATACTCTCCCCCTCCTTCTTTCCTGAAATGAGATCGGACAAACGTCGGGCGGACAAACGTCGGGCGGACAAACGTCGGGCGGACAAACGTCGGGCGGACAAACGTCGGGCGGACAAAAATTTAAGCGAAGGGGAGGGCGGACAAATTTCGGCAGGACGGACAAACGTCGGACGGACAAACGATGTACACCGGAAATTTGGACAGGTCGTACAAAGGTCGGACAAACGATGTGCACCGTGGCCGCCCCCTTTTGTCCATCCTGACGACCAATCTGTCACTGACGTCGTGGAATATTTCTACTCTCCCCCTCCCTCTTTCCTGAAAAGTGATCGGACAAACGTCGATCGGACAAACGTCGGTCGGACAAACGTCGGTCGGACAAAAATTTAAGGGAAAAGGAGGTCGGACAAATTTCGGCAGGTCGGACAAACGTCGGTCGGACAAACGATGTAGACCCCATGTTCGTCGGCCACTCTCCTGAGGGCAATCTAATTGCCATCGAGTGGGCATTGCACGCCTCAGCAACCGCCCCACCGTGGATTTGCCAGATGACCGGTGGAGGTGGTTAAAACCCTGACGCGTTTTGAGCTCCAGAGTCGCTAAATGGGAATGTACCGAGCGTGCGCGTGCGACACCACCAATGGATTCCTCGTTCGGAGAGCAATCCATCGGTGGGGTCACACGTTCCGCTCGAGTCCCATATAGCTACTCTTGCGCTCAAAACGTGTCCGGGACTTTGACCGCCTCCACCGGTCTTCTGGCCCACCGTGTCGACTGGACGTGGTCAATCCGCAAAAAACATTCAAACCCCTTCTGCCCTAAACTCCTCTAAACTCCACAACGCTCAGGCGGAAGTAATTATTAAACCGAGTTGAACCGAATTTTTCAAAACGGCCCTGCTTACTGTTATTGTTGTTGTTGCTGCTGCTGCTGCCACCGCTGCTACTGCTGCTGGAGCGTCTGCCCAAAGTCCCGGCGTGTCTCTGCCGCCTCCTCCCGCACGGTCACCAACACTGAGCCAATGCCCTTCCCCCTCCGCGGCCTAGTTTCGCCGGATGCATTGATAAGCCCTACGCCCCCTCCCCTTCCCCCGCACCGCCTGTCCGCACGGAAAATATGTGCGTGCGAATGAATACGAGCCGAGCAGCCTCATTCCGCGTTGTGTCGCTCTGTCTCTCTCGCACCCCTACGGGCCCTGCGAGGCGCCCCGTGAGTGCGAGGGAGACAGGGCGACATCCTTCGGAATCAGGCGGCAGCAGGGCCGGCAGCAATGGCTCAACCGCGGTACCAATGAGTCGTCGTAGCCACACAGCAAAAAAAAAGACAACAACAACAAACAGAAAGTACAACAAAAACAAAGACAACAAAAAAGACAAAAAAGGCAACAACAAGAAAAAGACAGCAAGAAAAAAGTTAAAAACAAAAAACTTGAAATAAAAAACTTGCATTACAGGTCAAAGTAATTTCCCAGGCAACCCCTGTTTTCTCTCTTAACTTAACGAAAAGCGTGCGGAAGTGTTCCAGTCGGTTTATGGCCTTTGTGTTCGTTCGCTACACGAGCTAGCTGTTGTTGTTGTTGTCGTTGTGGTCGAGGCATGGTCTCCCTTTCGAGAGTCACGTGACCTAGACCGGGCGCGCGACGGACGGACACCCCGCCCATCAACCGGGCCCACCGGGCCACCCTTCAAAACACGGGCTGATACCGACGGGCCGAGCAGCCTCGCTTTCCTCGCGCCGTCCCTCTCGCACTCACGGGCCTTCCTGCAGGGGCGCGAGAGAGACGGCGCTGGTCGGACCTCGCCTGCAGCGGTGCTGATAAGATTGACGTGCTTCCCGGCCTTTGGCGATGGTGGCACCATGGTGGCACCATGGTGGCACGGTGCGGCATAGGCAGGTGTCGTGTGGGGCGAGGGGGTCAGTAAAAGCACACGTAATAAATAGACATGTATTTACAGAACTGAGGGTGACGAAGGGCCTCCAAGGTACAAGGAAGGATATGGGACGGTAGTGACTAGAACATATTAAATTTATACACATAAAAAAATTGTAGAGCAAAATTTTTGGCATTGTTTTTTTTACAAACTGCGCACATTGATCTTTCCTCTCTCTTTGATCTTCAACAACGACGAAAACATTTTAAGTACTCGACTGGCGAAAGAAGTTATTCGCAAATACGGGTGCGAACGTTTGGCATAAATTTGCTGGACGAAAAAGAGTCGGCTTCGCATAAGTCAAAAGGAATCTATGCTGAAGCGGAACTGTTTTGCTACCGAAGCTGTTTAAATGAGTAAATGGCTTCTCGGCGGAACGCGGAGCAAAGGCCTGGCCGGGGGGCCTGGCCCGGCGCGGCCCGGCGTGCACAAGCAATCCAACAAGAAGAGACAACTACATGAAAATCACGTTAAAAATACATATGTGATGAGAGAAATGTTGAGTGATAATTTGTCGATATCGCTATTTGTTCTACTGGTTTTGGTCGAAAACAATGCGAAGACTCGATACACTCGAATCCACACATATTTTTTTGGTTGGGGAAACTGGGTGCGAGAAAAGGTCACTTTTCTCACCGGAATGACTTTGGTTTGGTTCAGTTTGTGACTTTCGGCGCTTCGCCGGCGAGGCGGGCCTGGGGCTCATCCGGACGCCGCCACGCCGGCGAAGCGCGTTCGAGTTCACATTGACCCATTGACATTGAGTCTGGACGGGCGGGTCCCGAGGCGCACCGCACTGTTCTCTCTCTCTCTCTCTCTCTCTCTCTCTCTCTCTCTCTCTCTCTCTCTCTCTCTCTCTCTCTCTCTCTCTCTCTCTCTCTCTCTCTCTCTCTCTCTCTCTCTCTCTCTCTCTCTCTCTCTCTCTCTCTCTTTATCAGTTTCACCGCCTGAAGAAGCTGAAGAAGCCTTTGGTCTTGTCCGGTGCCGGCGCCATCAGCATGGGCACTTGGTTCTTGTGCGTCACTGAGATCTGCAACGCCAAAAAAAGATAACAAGGTTTTAAAACGGCGTTTTGTTTTTTATATTTTTTGTTGCGCGCCGGACGCCTGCGAACTTGCGGGTAGGCAAGCCCGCTTCGCACCGCTGCGGCGATTGCCTACCTATCAGGCGCTCTCCCGAGGACCTGTTTCCAAAAACCAAGGTTCCAAACACGCGGTTCCGAGAAACCTGGGTTTTGGTTTAAGCCTTTGAAAACCTGAGTTTTGGTTTCAGCCCACTTCAGTATGAGAAGCTCCGGTTCCGAAAACACTAGGGTTTTGTTTTCAGCCTGCCACAGCACCCCGGTTCAATAAACCCTGCGTTTCGGTTTCAGGGTCCCACAGCGTGAGAACCCTCGGTTCAGAAACCTCGAGTTTCGGTTTCAGCCTCTATCACAGCCCCCCACCTCCAAAGAACCCGCGGGTTTCTGTTTCAGCCTGCCACAGCATGGGGCCAACCCCACTCAAGGGCAACCCCGCCCTGATTTAGGCCGCCCGTCCGTCCCCAGGGACCACCCATAAACTACCCCCTCCCCTCCCACTACCCCTCCCCTCTCATCTCCCATTCCCCTCCCCTTCCCTCCCCTCCCCTTCCTCCCCCCCTCACCGTGCAGGGCGGCTGCATCCAGGGCTCGCCGTCGATCTGCATGGGCAGCCTCTTCCTGGTGCGGATCACGACGGAGGAGCACTGCGCCAGGCGGCGGCCGCTCGCACGCAGCCCCGTCCGGACCTGCCCCATGTGCAGGCAGTTCTCCAGGCCGATCACCTCGATCAGCCGGTCGCCCACGTCTGCGGAGGGGAAAAAAGATAAGGGTCACGGTCCTGGGTTCGAATCCCACTGCTTTTTTTGGACATTCAGCTGTTTTTAGTTTAGTCTTGATGTGTGTTTTTTGTTGGCGTTACTGTTTTTGTATGTGGTTTATGTTTTTGTATGTTTCTCTGTTTATGTGTGTTTTTGTTATCGTTTTTATGTGTTTTTTTGTTTTTCTGTGTGTTGTTTTGTTTGTGTTCGGGCGCACCTTGCACGGCCAGGCTGAGGTCCACCGAGGTGCAGGACGAGGAGGAGAACTCCCTGGAGGACAAGGCCCCCGCCGACTTGCTGCGCTTGCAGCGCCGCTTGCGCGAGTGGTTGTCCCCCCAGAGGTTGGAGCCGCCGTGCGTGTAGGGGATGTTGAGCAGCGCCACGCCCTGCAGCGACTGCCCGTTGGCCATGTCCAGGGACACGCCGTCACACTGCGGGACAGACAGCCGCGAGGTTAAGGAGGTGGACATCCAATGCAAAGGACCCAGGTTCAAATCCGCGAAAGGTCCAAATTCTAATCTTTTTTTTTTGCTTTACGTGAAAGAAATGTTGGATTACCACAATGTCGAGGTCCTCGTGGAGGTTCTTGCAGGAGGCGGCGAAGGTCTCGCTCGTGGCGAACTCAAAGTACCACAGCTTGTTCTTCATGCGGCTGTTGAACTTCTCGGGGTTCTTCTCCCGCTCCATGTGGAACTTGACGCAGATGGCGGCGTCCTGGACACACCGGTGTCGAGACCGTCAAGACGCAGAACACTTGGCGGCGCACAGTGCGACGGAAGACCGGTGCGGCCGGACAAAATCTCGGACGCGTTTTGAGCTCCAGCGTCGCCAAACAGGGCTCGAATCGAGCGTGTGATCCCACCAATGGATTGCTCTTTTTATGACCAATCGATTGGTGGGGTCACACGCTCGGTTCGAGGCCCATTTAGCGACTCTGGAGCTCAAAACGCGTCAGGGATTTGAACCGCCCCCACTGGTCTTCTGGCCCACTGTGCGGCGCACGACATGCACGTTGTTGTGAATGGGGAGGCTTTAGGGGCCCACTCACCACTCCGACGGAGAAGTAGTTGTTGATGATGTTGTAGGGCACGGGGTCCCCGCCCTCGTCCTGCACGTCGGTGAACGAGATCTGCCACCGGTCCAGGCTCACGGGCACGGCGTTGGCGATTTTCTGCTCGGGAGAGGCAAACGGGAAACGGTTAGCGCTAATGCGGGGAAACAGACGCCCGCTTCGCCTTTGGCGGCCGCCTCGCTGCCGCGGCACGCCGGGAACGGCCACGGCCGAGGCCACGGCCGAGGCCACGGCAGTCACAAAGGCTCCAGAGCGGCTTAATCTGGAAATTAGATCCCCGAGTTTTGCGACTCCGGCTGCAGACTGATTCCGAGACATCGCTCTGTCTTTCTCGCACTCGTGGGGCGTCCCGTTGAGGTGCGAGAGAGACAGAGCGAATGAGCCTGCTGGCTGGGCTGGCGAATGAGCCTGCTGGCTGGGCTGGCTGGCCTGGCCGGGCGGCCCACCTTGAGCAGCTTGGGGATGGACTCGCCCTCGTAGCCGCCGCCCCATCGCAGGCACCGTGCCAGGTCATTGCCCGTGCCAAGGGGAATCACCCCCACTGCAGGCTGCTCCTCGAACTGGACCCGGTCTGCGGACACACCAAAAAATACAGTGTCGGAAACAAAACAAGAATCAATATAGGGCATTCCGAAGGAAGTCTGGCCCGGAAGAAGGGCAAGGACAAAAACGGAAGTCAGAGGTGACAGTTTATGCGAAATGTTAGCTGCGGATGAGCTCCAGACCCCATCTATACCCCGTATATTTCTCACATAAATCCTAGAAACTGTCAATTTTGACATCCGTTTTTGTTCTTTTGGCGCCGCGCAAATATTACGTCACCTCTTTTGAGCCTCTTGTCAATCCCATTTCCCCCACCTCCCTGACCATCATAAAGTTGAACCTAAACTTCCTAGGTATTTAAGATCGAACCCCTCTCCCTCCGTAAGTGATGACGTAATATTTGCACGCCGCCTTCGGAGTGCCCCATGCCTTGGCGGGACTCGAACCCCGGAGCTCCTCACCCATGGTCTCCAGCACCCAGCCCACGGTGCCGTCGCCGCCGCAGCAGATGACCCTGAAGTTGGGCACGTCCTTGAACATGGTGAGGCCCTGCATGGGCCCGCCCGTGGCCAGGTTGTACACCTGTGAACAACACGAGTCAGGCCTCCGCACGGCGCCCCGCCCGGCCGGACCGTGGCGCCGTGGCCGCGGCCGTGGCCCGGGTCGCTCACCTGCCGCGGGTTCAGCAGGTACTGGAACTTGCGCAGCAGCCGCGCGCCCTGCCGGCCGCCGCTCTTGGGGTTGATGAAGACCAGCAGCGGCCTGGTGTTGGGCGGCGGCGTCACCTGGAACGACATGGCCGGCTGCTGCTCTCGGCTCTCGCGCCCCGACGACGGGTTGAACTGGAACGTCTGCCAACAGCCGAGTGGCCTAGCGGTCAGAGAGTGGCAGCGCAGTAAACCGGTGGAGGCGGACGAAACTCGCTAAATGGGACTAGAACCGAGCGTGTGACCCCGCCAGTGGATTTCTCGCTCGGAGAGCAATCCATTGGTGGGGTCACACGTTCGGTTCGAGTTCCAATTTGTGACTCAATGAAGCACAAAACCCGTCCGGGGTTTTGACCGCCTCCACCGGTCTTCTGACTCGTGGAAAGGAAAGGAAGCCCCCTGGAAGTTAGTAGTGTAGTGGGTACTGCTGGTTTCAAACTCTGAAAAAATAAAATAAAATCGAACACTCCGTGCTACACATTTTTCGTTTTGCTATGTTGGTGGCACTGGGTTAGTTTGGACTTTGTGAGAATATTCCAATCTTGAATAAACACGTTCCCGCTGGACCTCAAGGGAAGATGGAGGCGCTACACTGCCAACCTTTCAGCACTTCCAGCCTCCCTTCCGCGGACTGATTCTGACAAGTCGATTTCGTCGCTCCGTCTCTATCGCACTCACGGAGCGTGCCGAATAGGTGTGAGAGAGGCAGAGCGATGAAAACGACTCTCGGAATCAGTCCGCTGGAGGCAGAGGCCGGCCGAAGCGCCCGCGGAGCGGCGGGCTGGCAACACAGGCGACAGTCGCGTCCTGCGGGCGGGCCTACCCGTCGCTCCGCAGGCGCTCCGTCGGCTGCACAGCCACAATAAACACAGCACACCGCACTGCAAAGCGGCACTCAACACAGCAAGGCTGCGGGAACCTTAAACCTGCGAAAACCCAAACCACACCAAGCCACACGGTGCTTACGAGGTTGGCCACGTGGGTCAGGCAGACTCGGACGACGAGGCAGGGGGGCTGCAACACGGTGGACATGAGTGGCTCTGTCTCTCTCGCACATGGGGTGGCCCCCCAGGGCCGCAGAGCTAGTTCAAAACGCGGACCCGTGATTGGCCGGCAGCGGTTCCACGGAACATGGAATGTGTTCTCTCTGGCGCGCCATGGCGGTACTCACGGAGCAGTTGGAGTCCGGCGTCTGCGTCTCGGAGCGCGGCCGGCTCTGGCTCTGGGAGAAGGAGCGCTGCCGGTCCAGCACCACGGGGCAGATGGCGGTGGGCGGCAGGATGTGCACGCGGTGGTCGCCCAGGGTGCACTCGGGCTTCACGTGCGAGGCGCACTTGTTGTGCAGCTGGGGGAGCAAGACGAGCAAGACGGGCGTCAGTCGTCGCTACTCCACGCCAGAGACGCGGGGCCCTCGGGGCGAGGGGTATCGCCGGCCTCTGCCTCTCTCGCACTGCCACGGCCCACGGTGGGCCAGAAGACCGGAGGAGGCGGTCAAAATTCCGGACGTGTTTTGAGCTCCCGAGTCGAACCGAACGTGTGAACCCACCAATGGTTACCTCGTTTGGAGAGCAATCCATGGTGGGGTCACACGGACGGTTCGAGTCCTGATTAGCGACTCTAGAGTTCAAAACGCGTCTGGAGTTTTGGCCGCCGCCACCGGGCCGTGACTGCGAGAGAGACGCGATGCTGCACGCGATGCTCACCGTGGTCTGGCACCAGCGGCACTTGAGGCCCGAGATGCCGTTGTAGGACTTGACCACCTTCCGGCAGCGCGCGCACTTTCCCCTGCAGTTGCCCTCCACCCAGTGGTGCTGCGGCGCCCCCGCCGTGCGCTTGCTCTTCACGTAGGTCGCGATGCACGACGCCGGCGCGCGCTGCACGCACCGCTCGTGCGCCGTGTACTTGCAGACTGCGAGAGAGACAGAGAAGTTGAGGTGCGCCGCGTCGCACAGTGGGCCAGAAGAACGGCGCCGGCTGCCAAAACCCTAGACGCGTTTTGACCTCCAGAGTCGCTAAACAGGACTCGAACAGAGCGTGTGACCCAAGCCATGGACTCCTCGTTCGGAGAGCAATCCATTGATGGGGTCACACGTTCGGTTCGAGTCCCATTCAGGGACTGCGGAGCTTAAAACGCGTCCGGGATTTTGGCCGCCTCCACCGGTCTTCTGGGCCACTGCACGTCGTGGACGGAGACGTGCTGTTTTCCGTAGTGCTGTCCTCGTCGCGCCGCGAGAGCGGGCTGCACTGCCAGCGAGTGTGAGAGAGACAGACTTACAAATGCAGCACAGCCCCTTTTTGCCGAGTCCGACCAGCATGTTGAGGCACAGGTTGCAGTAGGCCGGCTTGCTGAAGTGCTTGAGCCGAAACACGTGGTTGCCGTCCTCCTTCACGTTCTAAAATTTAAATAAAACAACACAAAAAATTAAAAATCGAAGAAAACAAAAGGAACTTGATTGGTATTCGAACCCGGGACTAACAGCGTCGAGGCCGAGCAGCACGAGAAGCGGAATGGTGGTCATGCCCCCGCGCTTCCACTCCGACAGCGACACGGTGCCGTCCGCGTCGTAGTCGATCTCCACCATCATGTCCTGCAGGATCTGCGAAGCAAAACGTTCGATAAGTCGAGTTCATAGATCGAGTAAATCGAAGTCATTTCGATACCAAAGCGCGAAGCACTCACGGGCTTGAGCTCGGACACGTCCCAGCCGAGGTACTCCGCCACGGTCATCATTTGGTTCACTATGCAGTCCATTTCCTGGCCAGGGAGGGTTGTTTGTTACTTCGCTGCACAGTGGGCCAGACGATCGGCGCACGCGGCAAAAAATCTCGACGCGTTTTGAGCTCACACCGACAGTGTGACCCCACCAATGGCTTGCTCTCCGAACGAGGAATCCGTTGGTGGGGTCACTCGTTCGATTCGAGCCCTGTTTAGCGACTGTGCAGCTCAAAACGCGTCTAGAGTTTTGGCCGCCTCCACCGGTCCTTTGGCCCACTGTGCGCCAGGTGTTTGAATCAAATCAACAACACCAAGTTAATGTTTGTTTGTTTGTTTCGACTCACATTTGTATCTAAAACGCCGTTGCCGTCGGTGTCGTACAGCCGGAACATGACTGCGAACCGGAGACGCTTGTTACTCTTTACGTTTGAAAGACGAGGGGCCGCGCGGCACCGCCGCCGGAAAACCGGGAACCGGAAAACCGGAAACCGGAAATAGGGGGACGCTACTCACATTCCAACTTGTCTTCCGGCCGGCCGCCCTCCAGCAGGCTGAGGTAGCAGACGATGTCCTTGAGGGGCACGCGCAGCGCGTGGATGTCCAGGCTCGACGACTTCCTCACCAGGTGCCTGATGTCTGCGGCCACAACAACAACATTGGTCTCTCTCTCTCTCTCTCTCTCTCTCTCTCTCTCTCTCTCTCTCTCTCTCTCTCTCTCTCTCTCTCTCTCTCTCTCTCTCTCTCTCCCCCTCTCCCCCTTTTGGCACTCACCGTCCAGCTTGCCGTTGGTGACGTGCAGCAGCGAGTTGTTGGACTTGCGGCTGGAGTTGCGCGACACCTGGCTGTGGCTGTGGCTGGGCGAGGACTCGGAGGAGCGCTGCTTGTCCAGCACCTCGTGGCAGGAGTACGACGTGTGCGTGACGGTGAGCAGCGGGTGCACGGACGCGCCGACGCTGCCTGCGAAACAGCAACAGTGGAGTTGCCGGAGGACCGGTGGAGGCGGCCAAAACTCGAGACGTGTTTCGAGCTCCAGAGTCGCTAAACGGGACTCGAACCGATCGTGTGACCCCACCAATGGATTGCTCTCAGATCGAGGAATCCATTGGTGGGGTCACACATTCGACTCGAGTCCCATTCAGCGACTCTGGAGCTCAAAACGCGTCTAGAGTTTCGGCCGGCTCCGGTCCACTGTGCGTCACTACCCCGCGCCAGCCGGCGGAGGAGGGAGGGGCGGGGGGTATCGCCACTCGGGTTTAGTGGCCGGGGGATAAAGGCTGCTTGCTTTTACAGTGGGGAGGAATCCTCTGCGGCGCGCGGGGGAAATGGAATGGAGGTTTACAGCGAGGGATCCTCTGGGCAACCCGAGCCGGGACGACGTTCCCTCGGCGGGAGAGTTGCAGCCAGCATGGCCTCTTTTTTTTCGTCGGCAAATAGCAAAGTTGACACGTGCGAAAACACTTTGAACAGAACGTGGTCTATAGACCGCACCAAACGTGGCCAAACGTGGTCAATAGACCGCACCAAACGTGGCCAAACGTGGTCTATAGACCGCACCAAACGCGGCCAAACGTGGTCTAGACCACACCAACTGATGTGGTCAAAATGGCACGGATGTGACAGTGGTGCGGTCTGGCCTTGGTACTTACCTGTCCGGTTGCGGCCGAGGGGGTCCGAGTCGCCGCGGTGGATGGACAGCGCGCTGAGGCGCTCGCCGAGGCCGTGCAGGCGGTCCGTGAAGGAGAGCTTCTCCTTGGCCTCGGTGAGCCCCGTGCCCGAGCCGGTGCCGCAGCCGGCCAGCCCCGCCAGCCCGGCCAGCCCCCAGTCCACCGCGCACGTGGCGATGTTGGGCACGGAGCCGGGCTGCGCCGTGGGCTGCGCCGTGGTGTGCGACGTGATGGGTGCGCACGCCGTGGCCGAGGTCAGCACGGCCATCTCCTGGGAGAGAGAGCATCGTTCGGGGTTGCGTGCAACACAAAAAAAAATAATAGAGCTCAGGTTCTCTGCAAGGCCGGTATTATACACACGCAGTATGTGTACCCAACGTGGGTAAAAACTATTTAAACGCAGCGTGGCAATGATCACTTCGCCTCTGGCCTCTGCAAACTGCACACTAAACTATTGTGGAATTTTTTATGCATAATTGTGCATGCACAAAGAGTGCATGATTATGCATACAAGTGCATAGTTATGAATAAAAGTGCATAATTATGCATTTAAAATTCCACACGAGTTTAGTGTGTGAAAAGCGTACGTTTGACTCTTCCTCTGGGGAATCAACCTGAAGGTTGGCCCTTAATTTGTAAACAAATAACAGTGCACAGCTCCATTAGCAGACTGATTCCGAGAGTCGTTTCCGTCGCCCTGTCTCTCTCGCACTTTTGGCGCGCACAGCGAGCCAGAAGACCGGTGGAGGCGGCCAAAACTCTTGACGCATTTTGAGCTCCAGAGTCGCTATACAGGATTCGAATCGAACGTGTGAACACACCAAATGGATTCCTTGTTCGGAGAGAAACCCATTGGTGGGGTCACACGGTCGGTTCGAGTCCCATTTGGCGACTCTCGAGCTCAAAAGGCGTCCGGGATTTTAGCCGCCTCCACCGGTCTGCTGGCCCACTGAGGACTGAGGGGCGTCCCGTAGAGGTGCGAGATTGAGACAGAGCGACGAAAACGACTCTCGGAATCAGTGTGCAGGCGGTGGGGCACCCACCTTCATGGCCTTGCCGTCGATGTAGACGGAGCCGGAGGGGTGCGCGGGGTGCGCGGCGGGGTTCTGCGGCGTGGACGCGCCCCCCGCCGGCGAGGAGCCCTGGCAGCCCTGGCCGTGCTGGCAGCATGGCGCGTGCTGGGACGGGTGCGGCCGGCGCACGAACGACAGGAACAGGTGTCGGCACAGCTCGTCCGGCGTCTCCACCTCCAGGAACGTGTCCAGGAACAGGCGGAAGCCGGCGAAGTCGATGTCCTGCGGGCAGTGACACAGTGTAGGTACAGACGGGCCCACGCACAGTGGGCCAGAACACCGGTGGAGGCGGCCAAAACTCTGGACGCGTTTTGAGCGCCAGAGTCGCTATCGGGACTCGAACCAAGGGTGGAACCCCAAAACCCCAAGGAAAAGGGGGCCCTTTTGGGGGGGGAAAAACGGTTTAAAAAACCCCCAAAAAAAAACCCCCCCCCCCTTAAAAAAAAACCAAAGAAACCCAAAAAAAGGGGGGGGGCCCGGGGCCCCCCCCGGTTCCCCCCCCCCCCCCTTTTTTCCCCGCCCCTTTGGGCCCGGGGGGGAAAAAAAAAAAAGGGGGGGGGGGAAAAATTTGGGGGAAATTTTTTCCTTTCCCCCCCAAATTTTCCCCAAAAGGGGGGGGGGGGGGCCCCCCCCCCCCCCGGGGGGGGGAAAGGGCCCCCCCCCCCCCCCCGGGGGCCCCCCTTCCCGGGAAAAGGGGCGGGGGGGGGGGAGGTTTTTGGGGGGGGGGAAAAAAATTTTTCCCGGGAAAAAAAAGGGGGGAATTTTTTTAAAAAAAAAAAACCCCAAAAAAGGAAAAAAAGGGGGGTTTTTTAAAAACCCGGTAAACGGAATTTACCTTTTTTTTGGAAAAAAATCCGGTTTTTGAAACTCGAACCAAGCGTGTGACCCCACCGAAGGGTTCCTCGTTCGGAGAGCAATCCATTGGTGGGGTCACGCGTTCGGTTCGGGCCTAATTTAGCGACTCTGGAGCTAAAAACGCGTCCGGGATTTTGACGGCCTCCACCGGTCCTCTGGCCCGCTGTGGGACGGACAGACAGGCAGGCAGACAGCCGGCAAGGTAGGCCGCAGTGCGACAGTCGCGCAGCTGTGCCGTGCCGCTTGCCTATGTCGCGTTGCTCGGGCGCTCCTCGGCCGGAGACTCGTTCCGCGTCGCTCTGTCTCTCTCGCACCGCTGCGGCCAGGGCTGCGGCGCGCGAGAGCGACAGAGACGGAGCGAGGGTCGCGTAATGCCGACACATTGCGCGTCGCCGCGTCGCCGCGCATTCCGATTTCCCGCATAAACCTGAAAGCGCTTAAAGGAAGGCGAGGCGCGGCGAATTTGAATGCGCGGCGTGAATAGCCGTCGCCCCGTCTCTCTTGCACCCGTGCGGCCCGTCCCTGCAGAGTGAGAGAGACAGGGCGACGGGGCCTGAGCGGGATCGGTGTGAGCGGACGGAAGTCGGAACACTGTTGGCGCTGTTGGTCCTCAAGCAGGGTTCGCATCTAACTCGTGACGGCGCGAAAGACTTCCCTCGGAAGGGCAAGGCCATGGCGGCCTGAGGCGAGTTGGCGAGACCGCGCCCTGCCCAAGCAAATTACTGCTTCCGAGAGTCGTTTTCGTCGCTCTGTCTCGCTCGCACCTATACGGGGCGCCCCATGAGTGCGAGAGAGTCCGGAAACGACTCTCGGAATCAGTCTGCAGGCCCTCTGGCTGCAGGGCGCCGCACAGTGGGCCAGAAGACCGGTGGAGGCGGCCGGTATTCTCGACGTGTTTTGAGCTCTAGAGTCACCAAATGGGACTCGAGCCGAGCGGACTCTCCGAGGACTCTCCGAACGAGGAATCCATTGGTGGGGTCACACGTTCGATTCGAATCATCTTTAGCGACACTGGAACTCAAAACTCGTGTAGAGTTTTGGCCGCCTCCAGCGGTCTTCTGGCCCACTGTGCGGCGCGCGGCCGCGACAGGACGAGGGTAGGCGAGGGCTGTGAAAGTAGTTGTAAACGTCGTGCCGGACGGCCGGTGCAGCCTTCTCTCTCGCACCTGCCCGGGCCGGGCCGCGAGTCGCCGCGAGTCGCCGCGAGTGCGAGAGAGACGGAGCGATAAGGCGTTTGTCCCCATTTGGGGCGCCGCGGCGCGCCGTTGCGGCGGAAGTGGCGGCCAAACGCGGCGCTCGGCCCTTCAAGAGCGCCACCGTTACGCCGCGCCACTGCCAACGAAAAAAGCGCAACGAATGTGCCCCGCTGCCCCGCAGCAGCATTTTGTCACGGCCGCTGGAACGCTGGAGCGGCTGGAGCACTAAAAAAAAAAATAATGGACCTCTACAACCCTCTCCGCAGCTAATGGGGATGCCTCCTGCTTTACTTCGGTGTTCGGGATGGGAAGCAGACTGAATCCGAGAGTCGTTTTCGTCGCTGTGTCTCTCTCGCGCAGCTCTACGGGACGCCCCATGAGTGCGAGAGAGACAGGGCGACGAAAACGACTCTCGGAATCAGTCTGCAGGCACCTGGTCGTCTACTTGGCGCCACCGTGGACTCCAGTAGGACCCCGAGTCGCAGACGGAGGTTGAGGAAAACTGAGACAGTCTGCTGCACCGTGCACTCGCCGCCACCCAAGCTTGGGTCCTTGTCGCACTTGTAGGGCAGCCCAAGGTTTCATCGGGATGGGTGCAACCCGGCTTATTGAACTTGTTTTTTTAATCTTTTAGGGGAGCCGTGGTTCGGCCGGTCTGCCTTCGGGATTCCAGGGCCACTACTCCACGACACTCTAAGTCGTCGAACCGTGAATAATTCGGCGCCTTCCGGTCTTCCCCACTGCTCTAATGCAGACGGGAGGCTGGGGGCACCGCTCTGTCTCTCTCGCACTCACGGCACGTCCCGTATGGGTGCGAGAGAGACAGAGCGACGAAAACGACTCTCGGAATCAGTCTGCCGGGGGTGCAGGAGGGGAGGGGGAAGTCTGACGCCAGAGTAGGCGGTCGATGTGGCGGTCCGTGACGTCACTGCAGCCGTGTGACGTCAGACTAGAGGGGCGGCCCGCGACGCCAGTCGTATCTCTCTCTCTCCCTCCCTCCCTCTCCTCCCCCCTCTCCTCTCCCCTCCTCTCTCTCTCTCTCTCTCCTCTCTCTCTCTCTCTCTCTCTCTCTCTCTCTCTCTCTCTCTCTCTCTCTCTCCGCAGGGATTGGGCTCTTGCTCTTTTACGCGCTGCCGGGTCCATCGGACTGCACGCCACGCCCTGCCCCGCCACGCCCCGCCACGCCCCGCCACGCCTCGCCCCGCTGCGCCCCGCCCCACCACGCCCCGAGTCTTCCCTTCGCAGGGTTCCCGCCGACCTCGGCAATTTCATCGTGAGGGAGGCTGGGCCGGGCTGCCAGCCCGGGCGGGGCGGTCGGGCCGGGCTGGCAGCGGGGCTGCCTGCACCACCTATTCAGTTTGCCGTCGAGGGAATTCCCAGCAGACTCGTCCGAATCCAAGACGCCGCCGCAACGCGCGCAACGCCACCAACGGTACCCTGATAAGACAAAAACGGGGGAAAGAGGAGATGGAGGAGGGGGATGGGGAGGGGAAAGAGGAGAGGATGTGGAGGGAGGGGGAGGAGGAGGAGTAGGAAAACGGGGACGAGGAAACAACTGCTGCTTGGCAGCCGGGGCACGCTGCAGATTATCTCCCTTGGCTCATTCCGAGAGGAAGTCTCCGTCTCTCTCGCACCCTTGCGGTCCGCCCCATGAGTGCGACAGAGAGACAGCCCACTCAGTCGGCAGAAGCTGATTGGATGAGCTCGGGGGGCAGACGTCGCAAACGCCACCGGCTTATGACCGTCGCGTCGTCGTCGATCGCCTGGGCCGCAGGGACTACACTGTCAGCCGGCCGCTGGAGAGACACTGGAGCGCCTGGAGAGCCTCCTGGAGAGGCCTGGAGGGCACTGGGAGCCGTAGAGGGACACTGGAGCGCCTGGAGAGCCTCCTGGAGAGGCCTGCTGGAAACCTCAAGACGCCCCTAGCAGCCTAATAGCCTCGCAATTTTACAAAAAAAAAAACATTTTTCTTAATTTTTGAAAAAAAAAAATAAGTAGAGGCAAAAAAAATACCAGTATTTCGAGTTCTGTCAAAAACTTTTATTTTTGATTGCGGGTGTGGATCGACATGGAGAAGAAAGTCCTAAATATGCCTGGAGGAGCCGCCGGGGTCTGGAGTGGGCGGAGTGGGCTGAAGTGGGCTGAAGTGGGGCGGAGTGGGGTGGAGTGGGGCGGAATGGACAGGGAGTCGAGCTTAATCAGACAACATGGACTGTAGCGCTGTAGCCTTGGCTGTAGCGCAGCAATGCAATGGGGCGGACGGGACGGCACGGCCCAGCACACTGAGAGTCGTTTTCGTCGCTCTGTCTCTCTCGCACCTACACGGAACGCCCCATGAGTGCGAGGGAGACAGAGCGACGAAAACGACTCTCGGAATCAGTGTGCAGGCAGGCCCAGGCAGCCTGCTCGGCATTTGGACAGCGCGAGTCTCATTCCCACTCCGACCTGCTGCTTTAAACTGATTCAGAGAGTCGTTGTCGTCGCCCCGTCTCGCTCGCACTCATGGAGCCTGCCGTGTAGGTGCGAGAGAGACAGAGCGACGAAAGCAATTCTCAGTCTTCTGGTGTGCGACAAGGACAGCCAAGCGGCGGTCGGGTTAACAAACAGGCCGGGAAAAACGCGGAAAACTCTGTCGCGAAAAAGGACGACGCGAGACGAGACTTTGCGGCTTCGTGAATTCGTGACGCAGCCGCTCCAAAGTGTATCGCATCACTTAACCGGCGAGCTTCCGTCGGCGTTAATTTAAGTTTGGAAAAGTTTCCGGACGTCGGGGCGAGACGACGCGGGGCGCGGGGCCAGGCCAGCGCCCCGGAGCGCCCCGGAGCGGGACGAGGGACACGGCGGCCTCTCCGGCAGATTCTTCCCTGCAGACTGATGCCGAGAGTCGTTCGCACTCACGGGGCGTCCCGTAAGGGTGCGAGAGAGGCAGAGCGACAAAAACGACTCTCGGAATCAGTCCACTGGGTTGGGTCTGATCTTACGCCACGGCGGGATGGATAGGTCCGAAGCCATAGTGCGTGGAGACCGACTGGCGGACAGACAGACAGACAGACGGACAGAGAGGCGGACATGCCTGCTGGACAGACTGCTGGACTTGTTGCTCATTAGCCACCGCCTTGTCTCCGGCTTGGCGGAATAATGAAAACAGAATTACCGTTGTGATGCGGGACGGCCGTGCGGGACACACACATACACACACGCGCGCGCGCGCGCTCACCGACACGCGGCCGTATCAGTGCCTCCGGGGCGAAATAAGCGCACCCGGTCCGATCTGCCGCAATCGTCATTTGGCCGGCAGAGGCACCGTAAAGTTAGGCGAAGCAGCACAGCAAAGGGACCCGGTCCCACGCCAAGGTACACACAAACACACACAGAGCGGGCTGCGGTGTCGGTGTGTAGGTGTGTGTAGGTGTGTAGATGTAAGGGTGTGTAGGTGTGTAGGTTTAGGTGTGTGGGTGTGTTGGAGTGTCAAGTACGTGTAGGTGTGTTGGTGTGCAGGTATGTCGATTAGTAGGTGTGTTGGTGTGTCGGTGTGCAAGTGTGTGGGTGCGGGTCGACACAAATGAGGTCAAAATGAATGTTGCGCGAGCCCGCTGCTGTCAATAATGTGATCCTCTGAACCACGACGCGGCCCAGCCGCCCTTACACACACACACACACACACACACACACACACACAAACACAAACACATATACAGACACACACAGACAGACACAGAGAGAGACTAGGGTCGGCTTGTGTATGTGTGTGTGTGTGTGTGTGTGTGTGTGTGCGCGCGCGCGCGTTGGAGCCCTCGGCGGGTGGAATGGGGGCCACGCAGGGCCCCATCGTGGTGGGCCGGACAGTTTTTCGGCGAGGGGGTGGGAGGGGTGTAAATCGGGGGGTCCTGGGGGCGAGGGTCCTGGGGGAAGGGTATTGACGTCCCCCGAGAGGCAGCGTGTCACAGCAAAGCACATTCATCAAGCAGTTTAGGCAGTGCGGACACACAGACACGCAGACTGACAGACAGACAGACAGACAGACAGACAGGCACACAGACAGACAGACAGACAGGCAGACAGACATGCAGACAGACAGACACACACACAGACAGACACACACAGACAGACAGCAGATCCCGCTGCAGCACGCTGCAGTTCCTCTGCGGCTGAGGACTCTCTTGCTTCTGCAGCTCTCCGGAGCCTCCCTCGGAGCAACCCCTGTCTGTCTCTCTCTAGCCCACCCACAGCCTTTCCCCTGCGACCCCCCCCCCCTTCTCTCCCCTTTCTTCGGCTTCAGAGAGGCGACCATAGAGTCACAGTGACAAAAACAGCCCCTTGGCCTTTCATTAGACAGCCCTAACAAGCACCTCAGTGATCACGGCCTGCATAGCGGCAAGCCGGGAGACCAGCTGCAAAGCAAGAACGTATTTCATTTCTGAAAATTGCTGCACTTACGCCATCGGGGCTGTACTTGGAGAGAGGGCCACTGCCGGAAAACTCCTCCAGGACATCGCTGAGCTTCTTGGTGGAATCTGGAACAAGAGAAATCCAGCATAAGTTGCACGTTTGAATAAAATAAAATAAAAAAGAACGAGAAATATAAATCGATTAGGGTCTTTAGTGAGGGATAAGTGAGCGTCAAGTGCAGTCCGAGCAGTAGGACTCCGGCCGCTTCATTTTTCATACAACAAGTGGAGCAGCCGGGGGCAGCAATATGACAAACATCTAAGGGGAAACCGCGGCGGCATGAGGAGGGAGAGCGGAATGCAAAAAAAGAAAAAAAACCCTTCCGTCGGAATAAATTCCCTGGATAAAGAGCCACCCTGGGGTCCCTTTGTCGTCTCTTTCTATTTTTCGGTCGCCGTCCTTCACTGCGGCTCGCAGGGCGTTTCTCTCGCGCTGTCTCTCTCGCACCCATACGGCACGCCCTACGAGTGCGAGAGAGACAGAGCGACGAGAACGACTCTCGGATCAGTCCGGCCACGGCGATGGCGGGCCCATCTTGCCCCTATCTGCCTGAGCGACTTACATTCGCATGCTCCTCATTTGCATATAGAGTAGTCCGCGATGTGTCGCCGAGCCGCGCTGGTCGCCAAGCCAGCGCTTTTCCCTCCATTTCGCCCGGTCAGGCGCGGTCAGGTCACCGAGCACGTGCCGGGTACCGGGTTCAAATTCCGGCAGGAGCCAGCTTTTTCAGGGGTCATTTTCTTTGAGCAATGTTCTCTCATCCACCACTAGGGTGGCCGAGAGCGTAGCGCGCCTGCGGGCGGCACGCGGGTACCGGGTTCAAATCCCGAAAGAATTAAAGCGGGTTCGAGCTTTTTCGCGAGTCTTTTTCTTGGAGCAACGCCGCCCCTCCTCCGCTCCAGCGGCTCCAGCCTCGGTCTGGTACTCGAGACCGGACGGCCCCCGATTCTTGGGGCGCGGACGGCTCTAAAAGCTGCAGAGCTGCAGCCGTGGCGGCCGGAGCGCGGGATTAACAACCCGCCGGGGATGAACCTGAAGGGCCTCAAGGAGGGGTGGCGTGGCCGGGGCACAGTGGGCCAGAAGACCGGCGGAGACGGCCAAAATCCCTGACGCGTTTTGAGATCTAGAGTCGCCAAACAGGACTAAAACGGAACGTGTGACCCCACCAATGGATTGCTATTTGAATGAGGAATCCATTGGTGGGGTCACACGTTCGGTTTGAGTCCCATTTAGCGACTCTGGAGCTCAAAACGTGTCTCGATTTTCGGTCGCTTGCTCCGTTCTTCTGGCCCACTGTGCGGGGTGCCCCAAGCCCCAAGGCCTGGCAGTGCTAGCGGAGACTCGCGTTAAACTCGTTCGGCTAGAAAACGCGGTCCGCCTTGCCCGGCCCCGCTCCGCCCCACCCCGCCCCGCCCCACCCCGCCCCACCCCGTCACACCCATCGAAATTTTCTACTTGCAGTGCCGAGAGACGCGGTGGCTGCCAGATGGAGAGAAAGAGAGCAGAAGTGTGTGAGAGAGAGAGGGGGGGAGAGGGAGAGGGAGAGAGAGAGAGAGACGCGGGATGACAAGGGGAGACAAAGGCTGCTGTGGTCTGGAAGAGAGAGGGGGACGCCGCCGCCGCCGTCGTGTCGGGCGACAAGGGCCGAAATTGGACACCCGATACTACTGACTGCCTGGCCGCCGTCCTGCCTGCCTGGCTGCCTGGCTGGCGCGCGGCAAGGATTGCTTCGAATTTACAAAGAGCTCACTCACAGAAGCGAGAAATGGACGGACGGCTCCACAGCACTCCGAGCCTCCGAGGGCGGCAGAAGTGACAACCAGTCGATACGTCCAGGCGAAAACGGCTGCCGGCGCCGGCCCTGCAGACCCGATGCAGACCGATTCCGAGTCGTCGCTCTCTCACTCTCGCACCTACACGGGATGCCCTGTGAGTGCGAGAGAGAGTCAGAGCGACGACTCTCGGAATCGGTCTGCTGACTGCCGTTTGCCGTGTGCCGTGCATGCCGTGTCGACGGGCACGTCAATTACGGTGGTGACGCGCGGCTCCAATCATTTCCGGCCGTGAGCGCGCCGTGAGCACACCGTGAAGGACCCGGCCCTCGCCTCGGCCGAAGAGGGCTGCATGTCCTCGGCGCGCCGGCCGCCCCGTCACTTGTTGTGTATCACGGGACAAACTTTCTCTTCTGGCGTGTTCCAAGTCGACAGCAGGCGTGTTGTTGCGTCAGTGTCTGTCTGTCCGTCTGTCTGTCTGTCTGTCTGTCTGTGTGTGCGTCTTTCTCTCTCTCTCTCTCTCTCTCTCTCTCTCTCTCTCTCTCTCTCTCTCTCTCTCTCTCTCTCTCTCTCTCTCTCTCTCTCTGTCTCTATCTGTGTGTCGTGTCCGACCGTTCGTTTATTGACGCCCTCTGCCTCTGGAGGGCCGTTGGATCGCACGCCGACTGCCGAGCCCGGCCGAGCCGTTCCGAGGAGCCACTCTGTCCCTTTCGCACTCACGGGGTGTTCAGTGAGGGTACGAGAGGGACAGACAGGACAGAGCCACTTTAAACGAGGCGGCGCTTGCCGTCGGAGACGGCGGCGGGGTCGGAGACAAGTCGAAGACGAGTCGAAGACGCCGTGGAGCGCGGCGGCCGTCGGCGGTGACGACGGCGAGTACGTCAGAGGCTCACACGCGCCCTCGCCCACCCTTCCAGCCTTACGCCATATGTCCGGTTGCGGAAGAGTGGCGCCGCCCCACCCCGCCCCGCCACGCCCCGCCCCCGCCCCGCCCCTGCCCCGCCCCGCCCCACCCTACCCCACCCCGGCGGGTAGGAGAGGCAAGGAGAGGGAGGCTGGTAACGACGTATGCGAGATAAGGTAGAGCGCCACGCTGCGACACCAGCCAGCCGCCTCGCCTCCTTAACCGCTCTCCCGCTTTGCCCTCAAATCACCCCCACCCCCACCCCCCCTTTCCCCTCGGCCGGATCGTCGTCTGCTGCAGCTAGCAGACTGATTCCGAGAGTCGTTTTCGGCGCTCTTCTCTCTCGCACCTGTAGGGGGCGCCCCGCGATAGTGCGAGGAAGGTAGAGCGACGAAAACGACTCTCGGAATCAGTCGGGAGATTCCAACAGTGTGGCCGCCGCGTCCGCCGGCCTGTGCCGGACTACTGGCGCCTGGAGACCCCCCCCCTCCCCCACATCGCGCACGACAGCGCCGGGGTGGGCGAGAAAAAAATCCGGCCTGTGTGCTAGAGAGAGAGAGAGAGAGAGAGAGAGAGAGAGAGAGAGAGAGAGAGAGAGAGAGAGAGAGAGAGAGAGAGAGAGAGAGAGAGAGAGAGAGAGAGAGAGAGACGCGGGGGAGGGAAAAGAAGCAACAAGACCGCGCGGCAACAAACAGGACGACGGCGCGCGAATATAACTCAGAAGAACGCGTGGGTGCTTTTGTCCCGTTATACGGCGTGCGCCGCCATGGAGTGCCATGGAGTGCCATGGAGTGGCACGCGGTGGCGGCAACGCGGCAACGCGTGGGCGCGTCCAGCAGACTCATTCCGAGAGTCGTCGCTCTGCCCCTCTCGCACCCGTCCGGGGCGCCCCACGAGTGCGAGAGGGACAGAGCGACGGAAACGACTCTCGGAATGCTGAGCCGAGACTCGCGTGTGCGCGCACGACGTCGCACTGCTAATGCCGCGCCTCGGCCGCGCCGCTCCGTTTTGCACCGCTACCTCTCCTGTTCTTGTTTCCCCGTCGGTCGGCGTCGGTCCCCGCCGCCGTGCGTCATCCGGTCAGGGAGGAGCGAAGTCTGCGTGAGGGTGGAAAATTCTGGACTGAAAATCCAGGGATGCACGACTTGACAGATTTGGTCTGAGCTTTCAGGAAGTAGGTCACAGGTTTGAGAGATTTCTTGAAAAATAAAACCAAACAAAACAAGGGAAGGAAAGAAATAAGGACCCCTTTTTTTGGGGCGGTTCGGGGACGCGAGGACCACGACAAAAGAATATATGATGGCGGGGACCAGGCCCAGACCTCCTAGGCCCAGGGCTCCTAGGCCCAGGCCTCGGTCGTGGCCGCCTTAATCCTCATCCCGTAGAGCCGGCAGCGGCCGGCAAGGCCCGGCCAAGCTGCAGGGCTGGCTGGGCAGCCAGGACGCCCAGGACTTTCAGAACCGCTCAGACTTGCAGGACTTGCAAGACTTTCAGAACGTCCAGGACGTTCAGGACTTGCAGGGCTTTGCAGAACTTGCACGTCCAGGTCTTCCAGGACGTCCAGGACTTGCAGGACTTCCAGAACGTTGAGGAGTTCAGGACTTCCAAGACTGTCAGGAGTTGCAGACTTGCACGTCCAGGTCGTCCAGGACCTACAGGACTTCCAGAACAGGAGTCCAGGAATTTTAGGACTTTCAGGACTTTCAGGGCCTTCAGGAAGTCCAGGACGTCTATCCAGGACTACCCGGACTTCCAGGACATCAAGGACACTTGGAGGGGCTGGCCTGTGGAGCGACGTCCTTGTCGCTGTAGTCCCGCCAGAATCGAACTAAACGGAGTTCCCTTTCTTCTCGTGTTTGTTGAGCTGTGTCGCGGCGCGAAAAGGTTCGTTTCGTTTCGTTCGCTGCACTGCGTTACGCGAAACCAGCCACATAATGGGGTCTGCTCGGTTCGGTCGCGCCTCCCCGCGCGGTACTAAGGACTGGCGGCTGCAACGGCATGAAAAGAAAATATATAAAAAAAAAATTGCCGGACACGACTTTTCCCCCTCCCCGCGCCGCTATCACCCCCTTGGGCCCGGAGGGGGGGGGGGAGGCGTCGGAGGGGAAAGAATGAAAGCAGACGTAAGGCGGGGCGGGGTGAGAGGTTGGGGGGGGGGGCGTTAGAAACTTCGGCAAGCCGCATGGCACACTGGCCGCAGCCAGCCTAACCCGCCCCGTTTGAAAGCTTCGCCAAGCTTAGGCCCAGGAGAACGACCAGGACGGCCCGGGATAGCCCAGGGTAGCACTCCGTGAGGACCGCGGTCGGACGGAGTGAGGCAGAGTGAGGGTAGGGTGGACCTGGAAGTCGTCTGCTAGGCAGAGGATCCTCACGGCTCGGCTCGGCACGG